AAACAGTGCAACGCCATGATCAAGAACCTGCTGGAGATGCTGATGAGAGGACTGAATATAGAAGAAGAGTTGGATGAATCGAAGGAACCACTTTTCATGGGCGCCAAGAGGATAAACTTCAACTACTACCCCAAATGCCCCAACCCGGAGCTGGCCGTCGGCGTGGGCCGCCACTCCGACATCTCCACCATCACCGTGCTCCTCCAGGACCACATCGGCGGCCTCCACGTCCGGAAGCTCAACTCCGAGACCTGGGTCCACGTCCCTCCCGTCGATGGCGCTCTGGTCATCAACATCGGCGACGCGCTCCAGATTCTGAGCAACGGGCGGTACAAGAGCGCGGAGCACCGGGTGAGCGCCAACGGCGGCAGCGACAGAATCTCGGTGCCGATCTTCGTCACCCCCGACCCGGAATGCCGCGTGGGGCCGCTGCCGGAGGTGCTGGCCGGCGGGGAGAAGCCGCTTTACAAGGAGATTGTGTATTCTGATTACTTGAGGCATTTCTTCGGGAAGGCTCACGATGGGAAGGAGACAATTGAATTTGCAAAGATATAATAAACAATGCATATATATAGCTAGTGTCTTCTTGCTTTTGTTTAATTTGCAGAAGATTCTATGGTATCTGTCAGGCAAAATCAAGTAAAATATAGCATAAATTAAAATAATTAATGAGTAATATTATATTACGCGACTCCTAGTTTTTACTCGCCGATATTTATTAGGGCAAGAGATTATTTGATTTTGATCTTTGAATTAGTTATTTAGGGACAATTTAAGCTTATTTACTTAAGTTTTTTGAGGTTTTTGATAATTGAGTAAGAGAGTGGATAAAGAGGTAAGGGGAGTAAAATAAATAAATAATTTTTTTTTAAAAAAAGTGTGACAGAAAATTTTAAAAATTAAAAAAAAATAATAAAAAAATTCATGTGTTCAATTGGCGCGTGCATGCTAGGTGCAGTTGTGCGTCTCGCACATCATTTGTTCGTCTTTTTCCTCAAAGATGAAGCCCACAAAAATTTTAACATTGCAAGATAAAAAAACTATCCAAAATACCACCCCTCAATTAGTGTGTATATATATATATATATATATATATATATATATACACACACACCTCAAGTTTCTATTTCTGAAAAAACCTACAAAAACAACAAATGGTTTTGCTTTAATTGTGGTAGGGTCATAACTCACAATATGGGGTTTATCTAGTAGACTCATCCGTACAAAAAGAAAAAATTGGACAAAAACTATCCCAGAGCTTAGCGCTAGTTGGTTCGTCACTCAACTTAAAAGTCCTGATGACTAGAGGTGGCAGTGTGGGGTTCAAATCTCACCGGAAGCATGTATGGAAAAAAGCTCAAAGACGTTGGAAGGTCTGAATTGGATCCTGGCCTTTTCCGAACTTGGACTAAATCTCATGATAGTTCACCATTCAACCAACGTATAAGCACAATTTTACATTCTTGTGATTTGTGATCGTATCGAAATGAGTAGCTTTATTCCTACCTCGTAAGCAAACAAATAGTTATCAACAAATGATCGAAAACATTATTACTCAAATAAAAAATATTGCTAAAATATCATAGGTAAATGGTATTAAAACTATTTTATACTATAACTTCTAAAAAAATTGATTAATGTATATTTAAATTTAGATTTTTTTAGCAATAATAGGAAAGTATAGCTTATAGCTTATAGTTTCTTAGCTCAGTTAATTTCGCGTGAGAAATTAGTTAAAAGCTGAGCTGTGAATAAACGTCACTACACCAATACCGGTCTCTTGCTTCGTATCTAAGCCGAAATCCCGTAATCCGCCATAACAACCATAAAAATCCCCACTCCGAGCCTCGCCAATAAGCTCCGCCACCACTACAGCAGCATAGCAGGTTCGCTCTCTGTTTCTCTGCATCTATATTTACGATTGAATCTCTTTAATTTACCCGTCGGATTGGAATAGTATCGAAACAGATCTTTGTTCCGTTTCGAAACCCTAGCTCGACTTGCTTGATTTCATTTCTAGGGGTTCTCTATAGCTCAATTTTGATCGTCGAAGTGTTGTGTTTGGTGCTGTAGGTTTTGTCTACGGTTTGACGGTAATCTGAATCCGCGAAAATGGTTTCGTTTGAGATGAACGATCGTAAAAGTAAGTCCATTGCTTCTGTTTGCTTTGCTCTCGGATTTCTCTGCTTGAACTGATCGTGTTGTATGAACTGGATAATTTGATGAGTTGAATTTTTGATAGCCTGATATTGACTTGTAATGTAGAGAAAGTTTCATTATATTGTGCATAATGAAACTTTGATTATGATGATTTGAACATTTTATTTTGGGAAGGAAGTACTTAATGAGGCTGGAGAAGATTTTAGGGAAATGAATATCTAAATTGTGTATAGCATGGTACTCCTTATTTAAATTATGTGTGAAGTATGGATGTTTAAATTATATGTCTAGCAATTGAAAATTGATGATGTGTCTGTAGCTTTTGATAAGCATGAAATGCCAGTCTTCTAACTTTAGCAAAAATAAAATGAGACAGCCCTCCACTTGATAGGCGAAAGCCTATGTTGTATGCTTGATTTAATTTGTTGAAGACTTCAGGTGACTAATTCTGTGTTATGATTATTGAAATTCTAGAGGAATTTCATTGTGAGTAAGCATTTAAAATATTTTCATTTGGTTAGATATAATTTAATGGCCGGTCTTTCCAGTTTTGCAGTGTTGATTTTCCTCTGTGCTTTACTATTAGTAATATTAAAGTGTGCCTTAGGCTCTTTTAGTTAATATATGAAAGAATTTTAGAAGATGAAATGAATAGAACAAAGATTTGCTTTTGAAATTCTTTGTTTCCTAAGAAACTTTTGATGCTTCAATGAAACAGAGATTGGGTTAGGCTTGACAGGATTCGGAGTGTTATTTTCATTCATTGGAATCATTTTCTTCTTTGACAAAGGGCTAATTGCCATGGGAAATGTAAGTTTCCTTGCTATTATCTCATTTGTTTGTCAGTTTGTGTAATTTCTCGAGTTTCTTACATTTATATCCACATGCCAGCCATTAACGTGCCGTCATTTTACTGAACCAGATCCTCTTCGTATCAGGGGTTGCCTTAACTATTGGTCTGAAGCCATCCATGCAGTTCTTCATGAAACGTAGCAACTATAAGGTTTCTGCTTATATCTTGTGATAACCCCCTGACTTTCTTGCTTCCTGCTTTCCCTCTATGCTTCCATGTATCCCTCTCATATTGATGATTTGTGTGCCTTTGTATTATATGGCATCCATTTATTTATTTGGTTCATTTACCAGTTGGTCTTGTTTTTTGATCATTGCATAGGGAACAATGTCGTTTGGTGCTGGCTTTTTCTTGGTTGTCATTGGATGGCCTATAATAGGGATGATTCTTGAGGCTTATGGCTTTGTTGTACTTTTCAGGTTAGAAGGATGTTTTTTCTCTTGAATGTTCAGTGCCTTCTTGCTTTTTTTGTTTCTTGATTGAGTCATGCTAGTAGGTTGCTCACCAAGTATTTTTCATTTTTTCACAGTGGGTTCTGGCCAACATTGGCAGTTTTCCTGCAAAAGATTCCTATTGTTGGTTGGCTCTTTCAGCAGCCTTTTGTCAGATCGGTATGTCACATCTATTATTATTGCATTTGTTGAAGTATTTCTGAATTGATAGTGTCCAATTGATTGTTCTGCTTCATGATCATCTTGTTGCACTCAGTCTGCGTAATCGTTGATTTTCTAGTTCTTTTTTTTTTCTCTTAGCCATGAAGTTGAACTAATTATATGTAATAATTATTTGAACTAAAATATTATTTACTAACTATATTTAATAATAAGAATACGTCAGATGGCATGCATTTTCAAAACATGAATGTGTACTTGATCTATTTGCTTTATACGACGTTGGACATATTATTCACTAAACAAAAATGGCCAAATATTTTGATGGCTCTCAAGTCTTGAACAAGATCCAGATCTCTAACGCATTGCTTGTTCCTTTTTGCAGTTCTTTGATCGTTACCGGGGAAAGCGAGTACCAGTATAATAACTTCAATAAGGATTTGTGAAATACAGCCTCAAAGTGTTTGGTTAACTGTAAGGACTAAGGATTGCGAAATACAGTGTTGAAGTGTTCCACTCCACAGAATGATGATTGATGACAGTAATAGCCTTGTTAGATGATAATATAGGCACACGGGCTATTTTAGTGCCTTGCTGCAGTTCACCTTTAGATTCATAGCCTGCTATAAGCCATTTTTTGATTGACTTGTAATCCTTCTCTGCATCAAGAATTATTTGTATCAGATTTGGGGTTTATCCGTGCTAAATAGTAAATAGTCTTTTGGTGTTTGCTGGTAACAATTGAAAGAGATACGCCACAACTCAGAATTGACTTCATACTCTAATATGGCTGCTTGCTAGTTTAGGACTTGGGAGGATTTGCATTGACAATATTATGAAAGAAAATGATGTGGCAAATTGGCATTGATGAAATAACCGGATAATTGACATACAAGAATGATAGTGTGACAACTCAAAAATAGTGTATATGGTAACACCCTTTGGCCTTTGGGAGTGAGCTGGTTAATGAGCATAGTGTGTAGTGTGATAACTCATAAATAGTGTACGCAATAACACTTTTGAGAGAGTTGTTTCTGAATGCAATTTAACTTAGATGCAAGTATTTGAATGAGGCCTAACTTAGATGATGCGGGTATCTAAACAAGACTTAACTTGAGTACCAGTGTAGTATGCATGCCAAAAAAAAAAAAAAAAAACGTAGTTTTTAATGAACAGTGATGAGATTAAAAAAAAAACTATATTTTAATTAAAAGAATAAATTTAAAAATATTTTTCGAACTATTTTGTGTATTACTGACTTTGTTACAATGTAGTATCTATTCATAATTACTTTCTCAACCTACTGAAGCACAAAGAGTTCATACCGCCTCCACTGAGGCTCGAATTCACAACCGCCACAGGTCCTTGACAATTTTTAAAATACTATACTTGACCAAAAAAAAAAAAAAAAAAACTGGGGTGGGTGGATGCCTAATGGGGCATTATTTTGTGCACAGTGCAAGCAAACTACAGAGTAATCTAAGTAGCACTTGCCATGCATTTGCAACGTCAGCGTTGCTCATACAGTATCATATAATCTTAGTTGTCCACTCCCCACACCTCTTCTATCACCCACCCCCTTCAACTTCTAACCAGTCCTGATGCACGCCAGCAATATTTTTAATAATAATAATAACAACAACAAGTATTATCTTATTTCTGTTTACTAAAGCAAGACAACAGGACGGCATGAAAATCACTACCAAAGTAAGCTAGAGATTGAGATGTGCAGACTGATGACGACAACAACGCCGGTAGTATATATAGTCCTCTACTATTCACTTCCTAAAACCCATCACCTTTACCATTTCTTCTTCAAACACATACAAATAGGATAATAGCCATGGCTCCATCGCTGTTAGCAAACCTTGACAGTGCACAAGAAATCACGAAATTTGTGATAAATGAAGGCCATGGAGTCAAAGGCCTTGCAGACATGGGAATTCAGACTCTGCCTAAGCAATTCATTCAACCACCCAGAGAAAGAATTGCTACAAGCAAGTTAGCGTCTGAGCTTTTCATCCCAGTTATTGATATGTCAAATTCGAACGAGCAAAAGGTGGTGGATATGATGGTGGATGCAGCACAAATGTGGGGTTTTTTCCAAATTATCAATCATGGGATCCCTACCGAGGTATTTGAGAATGTGAAGAGTGCAACTCAGAGGTTTTTTGAGTTGCCAGCAGAAGAGAAGAGAAAGTACCTGAAGGAGTACTCTGCCTCGAATTGTGTCCGGTTTGGAACAAGCTTTACTCCCCATGAAGAGAAGGCTTTTGAGTGGAAAGATTATCTCAGTCTCTTCTATGTTTCTGAAGATGAAGCTGCTGCACTTTGGCCTCCTGCTTGCAGGTTAGAATAATAAAACTCAAAGACATAATGACATGTAACAAAAAATTCCTTTTTTCATTATTTTGGCACTAACTAATGTCAGTGTTTCAGGGATGAAGCACTCGAGTTCCTTAGAATGTCTGAATCTGTGATCAGGAGACTCTTGGAGGCACTGATGAAAGGTTTGAATGTCAAAGAGATTGACAGAGAAAAAGAACTAATGCTAATGGGTTCAAAGAGGATAAACCTTAACTATTACCCTATATGTCCAAACCCCGAACTCACCATAGGAGTAGGACGCCATTCAGATGTCTCAACACTAACTATCCTTCTCCAAGATCACATTGGAGGACTCTACGTCCGGAAACAGGATGATGACACCTGGATTCATGTCCCGCCAGTCCCGGGAGCTCTGGTGATTAATATTGGAGATGCACTTCAGATTATGAGCAATGGGAGATACAAGAGTGTTGAGCACCGTGTGGTTGCTAATGAAACCAAGAACAGGGTCTCAGTGCCAATATTTGTCAATCCTAGGCCTAATGATGTTATTGGTCCTTTGCAGGAAGTGTTAGACAGCGGTGAGAAACCAATGTACAAGCAAGTTCTTTACTCAGACTACGTCAAGCATTTCTTTAGGAAAGCTCATGATGGGAAGGAAACAGTTGAATTTGCAAAAATATGAGAGTATGAGTACTGGCAACAATAAGAACTGCTTCACTCTTGATTTTTAGCAGTGGTGAAATAAAAAGAAAAGAAAGAGTATCCAAAGCATGTATTCAGTTTATCATCTGATCAATGAAATAGATAGAACTTTTATAATGCTTTCTTGAATCATAAACTTTAGGCAGGTAAAAACAGTCATAGCACACAGATTATTCTCGTACACGTGCATGCAAAAAGATTATTCATGAGACTTCTAGAACTTTATTTTCTGACACAGATCATAAACTACATTGTCATCATACAACTACCATACACACACACATACACGCATATATGTATGATAAACTAAACTTCCAACTATGTAGACATCAATAAACACAACAGGCCAGTACCATGTCTCTTGCATCATCCAGATAGTGAGTTAAAGTTTACTCTGTGTCAGAAGCTCCTGCTTCCATTTATCCCTTAAAAGTCTCCTCAGTACCTTATTTGAAGCTGTTCGTGGAAATGATGGAACAATTTTTACAGCACTCACCTATGATCAAGGGGAAAAGATGAACATGTTCATCATTGGAATCAATACTAAGTCCTGAAGGTCAAAATCATTAATGCCAATGACAACATTTTATATTATCAAGATCTTAGATTGAGTGGTAAATTAAAATCACAATTCACAAAGGCCTTCTTAAACAACTATGTGCTTCCATCATGTAGTTTTCAGTTTGCTTTGGAGGATTTATTTCAAATTATTAAATAATGTAAAGTTAAAAATACTATACAATGCAGGCAATACAAAGGACAGATTTAATAAAGTATTCAAGCATCGCTAAAGAACTTAAGAGAAACAAACCTTGAATAAAGGATTAAGGTTGCTCTGTATGGCTCTTGAAAATTTTGTCTTCAGCTCTTCTGGTGCAATCTTAAATCCTTCTTTGAGCACCACAAAAATAACTAACTGTTCAGGACCACCATTTGCTGGCGATGCACTGACAGCAGCTGTTTCGATAACATTTCTGTCAGCCAGATTGCAAACACGCTCTATTTCAACTGAACTTGTCTGTATGCAGAGAAGGTAAAACATACCCTTAGACTCATGCAGAACCAAACTGTGAACATAAGTGGCTGCATTGTTCAAGGATGTGCATGCAGCTTATGCATTCTTATCCAAATGAAAAGCATATTACACAATGATACAAAGATAGTGCATGGAAATAGGTGTGTTACCGAAAAACCGACGAAACTGATAACCGATACCCGAACTGACCAAAAATTTCAGTTTTCGGTCGGTTATAAGTTTAAAAAAATTATTGGTTATTAGTCAGTTATGGACGTTCAAAAACCGCGGTCACCAAATAACTTGTGTTCAAATGAGAACACTTCCTTAGGTGAGAATGTGTGAACAAGCATGAGTGCAAGCAATCTACTCCAGGGTCTCCACCATCATCTAGGCATGCCTGGGAGTAGATTGTGTGCACTCATTTTTGTTCGCACGTTCTCACCTAAGAAAGCGTTCTCATATGATCCTGAATCTATATATAAAGTTTTTGGTTGGTTATGAAAATTAAAAAATAACTTTCGGTATTCGGTCGATTGTTGACTGTAATTGACCGATGTTCACCCCTACATGGAAATTGTCAACTATTTATAGGAGCACAAACACTTTAGCTGCTCAAACGTTGAATCGCTCAGAATAAAGAACTGGCAAATCCATATATTCTATTTGATTAACACAGACAGAAAGAGAATAGAGAAAGAGGGATTTAAGTTACTGGCAATGGCTTACTTTAATACCCCCAAGATTCATTGTGTCATCAGCTCTCCCTTGTACAACAAGATAACCACCAACAGTTCTTTTAAGGATGTCACCATGCCTCCTAAGTTGCTGGAAATACCAATAAAGTATGAATATTGCAAAGCTAAATGACATTTGAAGATGAGCTTAAATATTAGCAGTTATTAATACTAAATATAATTAGTCAAGTTGTTTAATTTACATAGAAAAGTCTACAAATGTTGAAAATCACATGACATTACAAAATATAACATGATACATTCCAATCAATTCAATTTTTTATATTTAATAGAGAGCAGTTATAGAAAGTAATTATTTTATTCATATTTCATTTAACATTTGGAGAATTAAGTCGCAAAATTCTACTACTGGCTTTCTACTATTTTTTAGTGCATATATACCATTCCCTTGTGCACTGGCATTCCCTTGAAGTATACACTTTCATGATCAGCATTCAGTAGGATCTCACTAGCTCCGAAATTGATAGGAAATAAACCGACCTCACCAATGCAGGCTTTATCATCTGGCTGTGACACGGGTTAAAGAATCAACGAATCAACACTAATGCAAGGTCATGAGATTGCTATGAATAGCCCACTTGCCAGCTATTTGTTTATAAAGTATGACTTCAGTGTTAAACAATGCACTGGCTCAGCAGTGCATTATTTCCATTTGTATTTAAGAGAGAAGTAGGTGGAGACTAGTTTTTATGTGATATCTGGGGGATCTTTGCTCAGATCCTTATGAACAAAATTAAAAGATCTGAAGAAGACTCTTGTTAGCATTATAAAATATCTTACATAAGCATGGCCATCTTCATCAAGGATGACAAAGTCAACAGCCATAGATGCTGAGCTAAATGTTCCAAAAGCTTGTGGTTGCAAAAGACTTCCTGCAACGTAGGTGGATGCAAGCTCTGTGCCACCACAACATTCCACAATGGGTTTATAGTAGGCCCTCGAAGTAAGCCAAAGGTCATCATCAACATTAGAGGCTTCTCCAGTAGTAGCAAATACCCTGCATATTCTTGTTATTTAGTTTTCTTTGATGTAGTGGACTGGTTGTTAGATGTGTGTACATAATATTTTGTCAAAAGCTAGTAAAAAGAGTACCTTATTCTTGTCCAGTCTAGGCCTTTCATACAGTCTGTGCTTTTCCAGGCCTTCACCAAACTTGGAACGGTGCCCAAAATAGTTACGCCTGCATCCTGGTATAATAGAAGGAAGAAATAAGGTCAGTTTTTAGATGTGGTCCTTCACTAGTTCATTGTAAAGTGCTTGCAAAATAGCATTGTTCCTACAAGAAACTTTCCATCAATTGTCATTATAAATTCCAAAAAAAGAATGCAATATTGTACTCCGTACTAAAATGTCGTAGTCTCAATCATTGCGGAAAGATGACTCCAATCTATCACACATAAGGATGATAATAATAGCAAGTGTATTCCATAAATCTAAAATATTTTATTACAAATAATGATCCCTTGCCAGTTAAATGCAGAGGTCAGTGAATCACCTGAACAAATTTTCCAAAACTACGGCCTAAAGGAGATCCATGATAGAGTGCCAGAGTTGCACCAGTCAAAAAGCAAGCATATACTAAAGTTGGCCCCATCACCCATCCCAAATTTGTTGGCCAGCAATATACATCTCCAGCTTGGACATCAGCATGAGCCCATGAATCAGCAGCAGTTCTCATGGGGGAGAGGTGAGTCCAAGGTATTGCTTTTGGATCTCCTGGCAAAGGAAAAGTGGGTGCAATCAATGAGATAAAAGAATGCTAGGGGTAAACTGCAGAAGGAACATATCGCACTGAATGATTCTCAACCTGTTGTTCCAGATGAGAATAGTATATTGGTGATAGAGTCTATTGGTTGATAAACTGGTGTGTAATAACTTGGTCTGCCAGAAAAGAAGATTTTATCAAGACTAACATTCTTGCATAGTTGCAGCTGATATTGTTATATTATTGCTTACCAAGGTAGTTAATGGTCACTTGAAAGGACTTCAAAACTACAAAAAATTGTTGCCTAACAGTCTAACACCACATTGAGATCTATATCACCACATTACCTTGGAAGGTGATGAGCACCAGCAAGAAAACCTTTCCATGATACATCTTGCTGTCTTAGCTGAATTTCAACATCCTCTCCAGCTGCAGGGACCACAATGACTTTCTTTGGAGCAGCTTCTACAACACGACTTCAATTGACAAACACCAACCATCAGGATTACTTGGCTGAACTGTTATTTTGTTAATGTAGGAGTACAAATCAACTCAATGTGTTTTCAAACGAATAATATTCTTGAATCATGTTGAGGTAACATTTTTATGAACTTTATTACACTGTCATGATAAAGCATTGACTTTGGTGAGTATTAATTTGTTTATTTTACCTTTTCTTCTCTCTTATCTCTTCTTGAGAAGAGGAGATTCTTCAAAATCCTTAGTCCCAAGGTAGCCTCCCTCCCTCCCTCTCTTTGTTTAGTTTTTTTAAAATGTTATTTATTTATTTTTTGAAGTCTTGAGAATTATTCAATACCCAAAGCAAGATAGATATATGCAATCTCAAACAATAGACTGTTGCACATATATTTTTTTTTCTATATTTTAACATCATATATTTAAATTACCTGTATAATGGAAATCTTCTGCCTCCTCGCACAATAAAATCCTGTATTTTGTGATGATTTCCCAGGAAAAATAAAATAAAAACATTATGTAATTGTATATATTGACTTTGATAGGTATAACAAGTACTTTGGAATGCGCAGAAGAAAAGCTATTGCATCACACAATTGAAGTCTTCATGTGTCTTTGTTGATTGGAAAGTTACCATATTGTTGGTTACAATTATTTAACTAGATCACTGCATGGACATAAGATTTTAATTTTAAGATGACGCACATATAACTAACATTCTTGGGGAACTTCTGTATTCAAATATTTTCATGCGCCTGAGATTATAAGAATTACCTGGGTAAAGATACCATGAGCCTTGGATACTCGTAAACGGGACGCAATCTCCTTGGGAGCAAAACTATCAGCAATAGATACTACAACAAATCCCCCAAGTACAATTGCCAAGTAAATAATGACTGCTTTTTCTGTCATTTGCATGTCAATGGCAATGGTATCTCCTTTTGAGAACATTGAATCAAGTGCATTTGCCACTAACCTGTGCACAATTATATTAGCTGACATTACTGAAAAACAGAAGATGAAGTAAATGGAACATGCTTTTGGAAGTCAACAATTACAACTATACATTTTCCTCCAATAATCAAATACCAAAGTCCAAAGGTAACATCCTCAAACTATTTTCAGGTTATAGACAGGAGAAAAGATAATAAAAATGTACTCCCATAAAGTAACATGTGCCAAAGATAGTCTTTGAGTTATTCTCATGCTGGTCATGTAAAGGTCTGCAACCATTATATATAGTCAAAAAAATAAATAAATAAATAAATAAAAAGCATTATACTCAAGCATACATCACTTGTTCTCTGAGCTCTTTCAGTGACATGCAATTAACATCCTCATCATCACGCCCTTCAGCTCTCCATACAATGGCCAAGCTGTTGTCCTGCTTTCGGGGGTAACTGCTTGGCAGCAAGCAACACTCAGCTATATTCAGAACTGAACCAGGAAGCCAACTTCCTCGAGGCTTGGACTTGTCAGAGGTATCCAGAATGCACTTAGGGGCTTCCCGAAATCGAATTGAAAGCTCATTCAAAACGAATGACCAGTATATCTAAAATGCATCCAAACATCATCCACTGCTAAATATGAAAATTTTAAATTCACTAATTTAAAGTGCATATCTAAACAATAACTTACCTCAGGATGGTCAACAGAGAACTTGTGAAATTGTTTAAAACTTGCAATTGGATCCTTGTAAGATGCCCCTAGAACCTTGGGACCGTGTGTTTCCATAAGACGACCTAAATTTGTGCATTTAGCTTCATCTCTGTAACAGGAAGGATACTAGCATTAGGTCACAAACAAATCATCAAGGTAATATTATCAAAAGTAACTATAATATAAAATATATTTCTATAATAAAATTTAAATTATATTCAAAATGTAGTTAAATCAGCTCGTTAAGTTACTAATTCAGTAAATTATACTCCGTATTTACTAAATTAGCCGACACGAATCCAAATTAAGGTCGAGAGAAGGAGAAAGGGAAGTACAGAGAAGGGAACCAAAAGAGAGGAGGGCCAAGAGAGGACTCATCGTAGTCATGGTAGACGGAGTAATAGATGAGCTGATGCAAGGCGTGCGGGTGCCAGGGCTTCAACAACTTCCGAGCTGTTATCTCCCGCCACACCTCCTGCGGCTCCTCACCGGCGGCGGCATTGGCTCGAAGGCGACGGCGAGACAGAGCAACGGCGTCCTTGAGCTCTCCCTCCAGCAACGCCGCTTCCTCCGGCGCAAGTCCGGCTCGCACCAGGTCCTCCGCTCCAACTCCGGCGATGCTCTTCCCCATTTTATCACTGTCGGCCGCTTCAATTCTCGATTTCCTGCACAATTATAGGGTGATCAGTCGGTTTGGTAGCTCAATTTTAGCGCCAAATATCGTACTTACCATTCAAAGAGAGTGATTGTCTGGACTTTTGATCACCAGGTACAGGTTATACAGTTAGATAGGTGGTCCAATCAATCAATGGTAGCGATGTAATCATTATTCAGGACACGTAAGAACAAACAATATGAGCCAAGAGAAACAGTCGAGTAGGTGAAGGAAGTATGTTACGGAGTATAATTGTAGTTTTGTCTCCTATTTTCTTCTTCTCACAAAAAATTGAATTTAAACCTCAAGAACTCTTTTTAGTCTTCATGCCCTAACTCAACGGAGTTAGTAATTCAGTGACTCAGTAAACAAGTCATTTTGGACATAATCAAATTTCAAATTTTGATTTCTTCTCCAAAAAAATGACATAATGAATTCCTAAGTTAAGCCTGTGTAAATTTTCTTGACCAAACTTGTCGTATAAGGTTTTTTCTAATATAATTTACCTTACATATTTAATTTGTGAACAATTACACATGAATAAAAGTTACCAAGCACATTCTCTCAATAGTGACAACAAATTTCCTTGTCATCCTAAAAAGAACAAAAAATATATAAATAAAGTTATAAAAATAAAATAAAAAATCACCAAGATCTGTAACTAAGCAATAAAACTTTTTTTATGTCACGAAAAGCGTTGGACGAGTAAATAAAGAATGATCTTCGTACCTCATGATCACGATGATTACGAGTTCAATTTTTGTTAATATATTTTCGATTGAGCCAATTGCATTAGATCTTCATAGATTGATGCAAAGGATACATATGTATTTATTTCATGGAATACAATATTGTCACATTTAGTTAAAACTCTGATACTTTAGTATGATTTTCGTGTATTTCAACAAATTTTTTTATGAAAAATGCTCTTTTCTCCACTAAACATTCACTTTCTGACGTGACTTTTATTTATTAGGTGCCAATGAATTGACTGATCCCACTACTAATTAAAAAATAAATTTAGCTACCAATAAGATAAAATCACATCAGGACCGAAAGTTATTAGGAAAAATAAATGAGGATTTATAGCATTGCTTTTCTTAAATTCATCACAAAAATGATACGGAGTATATGGAGAAAAATGCAATTTGAAATACTTGAGTGTATATTACAATATCTAAGAAATGTAAGTAATATAAACCACAAGTTATACTTACCAAAAATAATATAAACCACAAATAAAAAATAGTGGACCACCACTTACCTAACTCAATTGAATACTCACTTCACTATCAGATAATTAAAATGAACGTCTACTTTTCCAAAAAAAATGAATGTCTAGTAATATAGTCGATTCTCCTTTTATAAAATTAAAAAAAAAAAAAAAAAAAAAATCTCCTTTTATAAAGGAGCCTTCAAGGCACCCCTTCCTTTCAACTTTGTATTAATCTCACATTGAATAAGTTTCCCATCCAATATTGGATGCCCCTTTCAACTCTGTATTAATCACATTAATTCGATTTAGCTATTTGCCTGCTGTTAACAAATTATATACCTATAAATAAATTGAAAACACATACAAGATGGACCTTGGTCCATAATATAATTTGTTGGATTCATGAGGTCCAAGACATAATGTCAGAAAACCAGAGTTATTAGGCTTGCAGTGCTTAGACTTGACTCGACTACACCCCTATATAAGAGTATTATAGAGAAGTATAATGGTAACATAAATGAAAGTGAAAACTTGCATCCAGAGAACAAGGTAGCTTAACCTCAATGCTCAAGAAATTGCATCTGAGACAACATGAGATCTTGTTTATCAAACATGTAAGCTATCCAAGACTAGTTAGTAATTACAGCGGAATTCAGTCGTCCCTGGCAACAAATCTAATAGCGAGATAACAATTACACCTTTACAAGTTTCCCACGATGGGCGCGTTTTGATGCCTTCGAGTAGAGCTAGAGGAAGCAAAAAGTGGTTCAATTATTGCAAAGTGAACCATTTACCTTGCAAATCTTTGAGTCCACTCTGCAGCTATTTCATCATGTCGTGCTCTATCCGCCAAATACAAGTGAGCGATACCAGGAACAACTGGGTTATCTGCAACCATGGAAGATATTAATAAATAATTACGTTTGTAATACAAAACTAGTGTCTCTATTAATCCACCGTGTTGAGATGGTTGTCAGATATGGCCCTGTTTGGTAAAATAGTTGGCCTATAGGCTAATTTTGGTTTATTTGATCACTATTAGCTTTTTGATTTGGTTAAAGAATCAATATAAGTATTTGGTTAATTAGCTTTTTGTAACTCTAAAATGCTAAAATTCAAAAAGCTGCTCAAAACAACTTTTTCAATTAGCTTTTTAAGGAAGGAAATTATACCAAACAGCTATTAGCTAACAGCTAATTTACCAAACACCTTTCTACAATCGGCTAATGTTATCAACTAATTATACCTTCTAATTAATCCAATCAGCTAACAGCTAACAACTATTAGCTAATAGTCATTTACCAAACAGAGTAATTATAATTCGTATCTGCCAATGATTCGAGTTTCATTTAGCCTGGCCATTACGGTTATCATAACCCTATATCTTGTTGGCCTTGCGGTAAAAGAACATGCTTAGAAAGACAGCTTAGTATCATACTAAGAACAAAAGGCTTCTAATTAGTGTATCTGCATTCCGTTTTTCTTTGTGCTTTCTTGCCTCCTTTATCTACCCCGACCCCTTTTCCCTCCCTCCCTCGGGCTTGCTATCTTGAACAAAGCAAATGAACTAGGAAAAACACTTACAGGTGTCGGGAGTTGTAAACATTGATCTAAGAGCAAGTAGCACCTTCGAGATTGTTAAAGCTGGACTCCAACTATCCTTCAAAATATCCAAGTTAACAGTGCCGGCAGGATCAACATTGCAATGATAGATGCGAGTTTTGAAAACAACCTGCAGGCATGAAGTCAGAATTGGAGAATAAGAACAAGAGGAAAACATTAAACACCCCAAGATGAAAATAAACGATTGAAAAATAGTCGATACGAATCATGACCGACAAAGCTTGGCTTCTATATGAACAGAAATGCTCTCTTCAGAAAGACATTTATATAATTAGATGAAAGAAAGTATAAACCTTCACTTTCATCATATGAACGAAGCAGAATATGTCGCCTAGGACCTTAACCATTCGTTTTGGACATCAGCTAACTTTTTCAAATTAGCTTTTTGAGAAAAGAAATTATACCAAACAGCTATCAGCTATAATCAGCTAATATTATCAACTAGTTATACACTCGAATTAATCCAATCAGCTAACAGCTAACAATCATTTACCAACAATTTCAGCTAACAGCTAACTTTTACACATATAACTCTATTGATTTGTTAAAGGATCCTAATATATCAATTTCTCCAGGAATTTCATACAAACATAATTACTCCAAAGGTATGATCATAATCTATTCATAACTAGTCGATATAGATGAGTAAAATTAAAGCCTGCTGCTAAGTATAAAACATGATCGTTAGCATACCTTTGGAGGTTTGAATGGATAATCAATTGGAAATGTTATGTCAAGGAAATATATTCCACCGTCATAAGGTGTTCCTTCAAATAAACAGAGGGGAGGTTCAGTTAAAGGAGCACTAAGAACAACATTTTTGTGAAAAAAGGCAGTAGAGTAGAAGAAATAAAAAGGAATTAGAGAGAGTATAGTGACCAGGAGGACCGAAGAGAGTGGCGACCCAGTGGTAGAGATTGTCGCCTTTAGGGCCAGCGGCGCAGTGGGGCTGAGGGTCGGAGCTCAGCTCCGTCATCTCCTTCTGTATCCTTTTCCCTGACGCCGACACCGACGTCGTCGACGGCCACGACCGCCCTCCTCCGCCGACCGACGTGCCTCCGCCTATCCCAAACATTTCACGGGGAGTCGAGTCAAGCGTCGCAGCTCGCTAGCAACTTCACCCTGGTGAAATGCAGCAAAATCTCACTAGAAATTAGAAAACTCCCTGAGACCAACTTAATCCAAAAAAAAAATATTGGTAAAAATTAATTAATTAAATTCATTGTCAAGAATCATTCTCCATAGCCACTCCTTTAGGGGCGAAAACTTTACTGTTGCTCTTCTAGCACAAATCTATCCAATGGAGTTATGGAGGAATGAAAGTAAAAGAGTTAATACCTAAAATGATCCTCCGACTATATGCTTCTAAGGCGCTGGAACCGGCAATTTCATCCCGGAGGAGTCTCACAATGTCTCCCTCGACTGCGATTTCAGAATCCAGATGGGACAGAGGGCGGCTAAGGATGATATGGTAGTTAATGACTCTTGTACCCTTCAAAATAACGGTAGATAGATGACAATTCTAACGGAAGATCACATTAGGTACTGTTTTAAAAGTTAGAGAACTAAATTGAGTACGTTTAATACTTTGACACAAAATTGAGTATTAGCTAATAGTTGGAGGACCATTTTAGGTATTAACTCAAAGTAAAATGACCATTTTGACCCTAAAACAAACTGGAAAACTTTGACAGAAGAGGGCTACAAATGCCAATTGCCATGTAGTGTGATTGCATCCCGATTACCCATCTAAATGGATGATCATTGGTTTGAACCCCGGTGATGGGGGCTTAGATTGTTTGTGTGCTGAAAATGTTTGAGAAAGTATAAAACAGATACTACTTTACCAAACAATGCCAATATCTCACTAGAGTTTGATCTTGTAATCTTTTTTTAAAAAGAGGAACAAAGGTGTGCACAAGGTACTTGGTATGGTACTGTATTTGTTCTTTAATGATTTTATGAATCACGAAAATTGGATAATTGGTGACAAAAAATTAACAATGAACGCAACAAATTAGTACGGAGTTACTAGTGGCATTTCGCTCTCATAATAAGTAATATTAAAAAAAAAAAAGTAATATTAAAAATGAAAAGATAAAATATAAACTCGAGTGATCAATAAATATAAAGAGTAATGTTACATTACTTTCTAATATTAACTTTCTTATTTGGTCATACTTGTTTAATTATGTTTGTCATACTTATTTCCACTTTCTCTTTTTTAATAAAAAGTAACTATTGGTATTAGTATTTGATATTGTATTTGTATATGCACTAAAATAACTCATAAAACCCTTTATATTGAATTACATGGCATTGATCATAATTATAATTTTTGAATCTCTTCTTGAAAGGATTAGGCCCTTGCTATTCGAGAACGTCATAAAAATTGTTAAGAGTCAAAAATTCTATTTCCTATGAAAGCTGCCTATTAACTTTCTGAACAACTTAGACTAATTTATCTTATTGTAATTATTTTGTCATCTAAGATCACAATGTAAACTTAATACAAAGCACACATTTCTTTCTGAACAACTTAGACTAGTTTATCTTATTGTAATTATTTTGTCATCTAAGATCACAATGTAAACTTAATACAGAGCACACATTTAAGTAATGACTACGGATTTTTCCGTAAATCAAAAGAGAGTTTATTAGGGATGAATTAACAAAAGTTTTAAGTTAGGTTAATCCAATTACTCACAAATTTTGCAGGACAAGACCTAATAAGAGGTTACTGAACAGTCAGCTGGGAAAATGTTCTTTACCAAGAATGCAAAGGCTTTAAGCTTTTCACTAGCATGATAACAAAATGGAGAATATGAACCCCAAAAATGGTGTATTTTCAACAAAGCTAAAAGCTGCTTCAACTCCTAACTATATTTCCCATGCCTTACAACTTACAAAGCATTCCCGAAACCAAGATCACGACACTACAAAAGCACATTACCCTTCGCTTCAAGGAACACGAGAGCTAACAGCACTGCTAAAACGCGCCCAATATCAGGCGCTCGAGCCATTGAGCCTTTACCTACTGGGGCTGTCGGTCCGAAAGCCGGTGTGGGCACACCGCCAATGCTTGAATTTGAACTGTCCCAGAAAACAAAAAAGTATGTTAGAGCACAGATCGAAAGAGTATAGAATACGATACCCCATAGAAGCATGTATAGGTTCTCACCTTCCCGTGAATATGCATGACCCGTAACCTGCTCGAGGACACCAAAAACGATATCAGTGTTCAGTTGAGCAAACTAAAAATGTTTCCTTTTGAGAAACTACGAGGAATTGAACAAATTGCCACTTATGATTAGTCAAATGTAATGGAAATGGATCAGACGATTCGGGAAAGCTCATTCTAAGGAAATATATCTATTCAAGAGACACGTTTTAAAAGAAGTTATGTGAATTTCCAAGTTTTATCAGTTTAAACTGTTAGTTGAGACAGAACACATCATTCAGTTATCTAAAAATTCAAATAATTACGAGAACAATCAAACACAAAAGTATAGAATAATTAAAGAAAGAATGCAGCACAACTTTAGAAATCACGGGGCATAGAAACTCACTGGGGTCCACTGTAGTTGTCGTTGCTGTACCATCAAAGTCACAAGTTCCACCGACGCTTTGCACTCTCTGATAATAGTCATTGTAGGCATAAGAAGCGTGATTTTGCAGAGTATCGGGGGAATAGCAAGGCTGTCCCGGTTGAATTGCCGAGCAGTTAGCATTTCCCTGGGGCCCACATGCCCAGTCGATTCCCTTTTGCAACTTATTTTCACTCGCGCCTGGCTGAGCTATACAGAAAACCCCGGCTGAAGAATTATTAGCAATTTGGCCTGCACTTGAACCGCCCAAATTAATAGGATAAACCGCACTGCCATTAGGGAAAAAGATTCCCCAGCTTCTTTCCGAGACTGGCCCGGGCCTTTTGTCTTCGTTAAACAACTCGTAAATATAAGCATGGATGGGCATTTTCAGCTCACTCGGGGGACCGGTATCATTCGAAACACGGCGGATCAAGTTATTGTTGTAAGCCCCCGCGTTTTCTACAGTAGCATCGGGCTCACTCGTGCTGCCAAACCAAGGCCAACCGGTTTCTGTCACAACAACGGGGATATTCGAGAAATTGAAAGCTGCAATAGCATTATACGTAGCATCCACCAAGGCATCGAGCATGCTCTCATAGTGAAAAAGGGTGTTAGGATCGACGATTTGCTTTACTGGGGGAAGTTTCTGGAAAAGAGCATACTCTTTCGGGAAGATGCCATCAGATTTAACATATTCATAATACGGATAAGCATTTAGCATGTAGTACGAATTCGTGTTCTGCAGAAACTGAAGGATCTGGAAAACAGTGGAGTTCGACGAGAAGTTGAAAGTGGCTGTGGATGGGGGGAAGATCTTAGCAATTAGGTCGGTCGATTGAGGTGTCGAGACTTTGACTTGACTATTCAGGTTTGCGGAAACTAAGGCTTTATGTAGGTAATTCATAGCAGGGACTAGAACGGGTGCAGCATTCGGAATCGAAGTAAGGACTTCACTTCCCACCGCAATAGCTGTAATGTTAGTCGATGGTAGATAAGCTGCCACATTCTTGTTTACCCACGCTGCCGCCTGAGAAGAGGATTGGCCAATACCTAAGACCTCGTTATTTGTGACGCCAACAATAACTTCAATCCCGGTGTTCGATAGAGCACTCAGCATATGAGCATCAGCATCAAATAGACGGACATGCTTTATCTGACGAGCTTTAAGAAGTTCAACCACATCCTTAGCTGACGGTAGGTTAGAGACATCGGTGCCAATGTTTATCCCCACAAACGCACCTGCAAATTCAGTTACCACTTCAGGGTGTGCACTGGGTAAACTCCACCTTTTTTTTTAGTACTACTGACTCTGTTACAATGCAGTATCTGTTCGTAACTACTTTCTCAACCTACTGAAGCACAAAGAGTCAATACCGCATCCACTGAGGTTCGAACCCACAACCTCCCATATGGGAGAGCAACTTGGTGCTACTAGACCACAAGGTCCTTGGCAGGTAAACCCCACCTTATGACCCTAATAGGCAAAGGACCACAAGGAGTTAAACCAACCTAGGTTACTTATAGCTGATCAGCCTGATCGGCTCAAACCAAGAAAGCAAATAGGCTGCTCCCGTTGGGAGTAACCTTGTGGATACCGAGTCAACAATCTAACCAACATGTCCTTGTTCCTTGACTTCACACCAAAATTGGAGGGTCAAGAAACAAGTCATCTTAGTAGTTTGCAATACTTTTACCTACTCGGTTTTCTTTTCACTCCTTAACCATATAGGCCAGGTCATTCAATTAAAGTACATAATTCAAAAGTTGACCAAATTAATGTGTAAATACGATTCTTATCGTCAACAGAGATTAGCTGCATTACCTACGAAATTGGACAATAACCCGCATATAAGCAGGGAAATTCCTAGCCATAGCCATAGTTTAAGCATTGTTAGCTGCAGCAAAATAATCAATTTCGTTTCTCCTCTATTTAGCGACACCTGCAGTCATTCAGTTCAACTTCAACTAGTTAAAACTTAAAAGGAAACAGCTTTCTACATAATTAAAAGGCAAAACATCTTAGTCATTTCCAAAAGTGTTAATTAACAATGAACAATCAAACCGAATTACCAAAAAAAGTAGAAGTTACTATGCATAATTAATAAAATGTCAGCACACAGCCAAAAACTGAATTCTATTGCATCAAAACATTTTAGTCCCGATAACGAATATATAACCACATATGCAGCAAACATTGGTGCTTGAAGTAACTAAAAAAACTAGAATCCCGAATTGCTGACACAATTTGCCCTCGTTTGACTCAGAAGCCATTCCATAAATCCAAAAACAAAACAGCAATCCCCTCCACAGAAACAGTAGCAAACCAGCAATGCCCAGAAAACGTCAATTCAATAGTAACCAAGAAGCAAGGAACCATGTAAACTCATCAATGGAGGCAAAGCTCAAATGTATATTAAGGCTATCAAGATTTGCTAAGTAGATATAAGGTTTTCCACACAGAAACAAGGCACTTATTAAGCATTAATAGCTGCCATATTGGTACAGGACTTGTATTGATCAATTCCCATAAAATCAAATCCCAAAAAGAGTAAACTTTCACTCAAAACCAATTCATTTGTAGGGTGCAAGCAAGTCACTTTATTCACCTACCTCTAATGCCCCAACTTGAATAAACACTAAATTGAACTAAATTTGGAACACCAAAGAACTCAACTTTATAATCTAACCACAACATAAAAACCAAAAGCAAGCAAAATAGAAAATAAAGAGCAAAAACACCCAATCCATGAAACCCAGATTGCAAAACTGTTTCAAGAACCACCATTACAAATGCCCAGGAGCAGAAATCATGAAATGATTTCATTTCAAAGAAAAAAGAGAAGTTTAAGCATAGCGGAGTACCTGATTTCAGTTCAATCTGCACCCAAGAAAACTCAAAAAAAAAATACAAAAAACTAAAAAACCCTACAATTTTTTTTCTTTTCTTAATTGAAAAGAAAGGAAAATGCAGACACACAGTCACATTTGAGAGATGAAGCTTTGACTACCCACTAGATTAGAAGCCAAAGCAAAATCTAAGAAAGTTGCCAGAGACTTTCCAAAGATGAAACAGGAGAACAGAACACCACTTAGTCACTTACCCAGCTGTAGTAGAGAAACAAGGTACTGGAGAGTGGAGAGCAGTCAATTTTTTATTGTTTTTGAAGTGAGACCAGTAACTTCTAGTCTTCCGTAATCTGTACTCCAAAATCCCAATCTGCTTTGGATTTATTACATCATTATTTTCCAATAAAACAAACATACCCCACCCCACCCCCACCCCACCCCACCCCACAAACCACGCAAAAAGTAGTGTTCAAATTGATCAAATAATTGGCTTCAACTCTCTATGAGCTGTTTTTATTGATATTCTTAGTTTTGAACGGGTTAACTATGATCAATCTAAATTAAAATCACGAGACAGACTTTAATCATAATACATTTTTCTAAATGATTATAATTTTTTTTAAAAGAAAAAAAAAAAGTGCCCATAAATGCTACTGTGCTAGAAAAGCATTGGCGACTTGGCGTACGCCAAGATCCAATTTTTAAATTAATGTTTATTCTTCTAACGTGTAAAGTGTGTACATATGAGAGAACACAAAGAACACTGGAGAAGAAGACAAAGAGGGGGTAAAACCGTAAAAGAGACCTCTAGTGTGAAGCCTTTCCCAATTAGCTGAACTTTACAGGGAAATTTTTTGTTTTTTTGCTTGTATTTGATGAATGAATCGCACCAAAAGCTTCTGGGAAGAAAGTGAAATGACCAAAGGAAAAAAGGGAATTTTTTTATTTAAGAAAAGAAAAAAGAATTCTTTAATTACAGTTTATAACTTTATTTACAGTTCAATGTGAACCAAAGAGGCTTTCTGAAATTCCGACATCGAGATTTTCGCCGTATGTCTGTAATCTGAATCTAGAATTAATGTTTTATTATATACAGATTTTAAGGACTTCAGGAGAAATTGCATTTTAGTCCTTCGATTATGAATAAATGATTAAGTGATTCAGAAAGATTATGTATTTGAAGAATACCTTACTTATTGTTTATTTTTTTTCGTAAGGGAATACCATACTTATTGTGATCATTCATTACTTGTACTTATTGAACACCCATATTTTATTTGTTTCCTACTTGTTAACTTATTCATTAATAGATGATTTATTTATTTTTTTGCTTAATTAACGAAGAATGTGTCACAACTCACATGTGATGAAATTATATGTATATTTTTACACTAAAGTGATGGATAATCATGTCTACTACACAATGTAATTGGGACAAGGACGAACATTGCATTCCATATGAAGTGGTTATAATCCAAATTAAACTACAAAGTGCAAATACTATAGGTGATTGAGTAAGCAATGAATTTTTTTATTTTTTTTTACATATAGTCTAGAGCTATTAAAATGGGATAACCATGTTCGGTTAGTCTGGCATGCTTTGTAATAAAGTGCGAAACAAGTTTTGATTTTCGAGAGCCGTTAAAGTGGTGGGTCGCTGGACGTACAGAAAAATTTCATCATTTTAGCCTTTTTATATCTTTCTTTAGACAAATATGTTTTTTGTTGAAGCCAACTATTTACACTCTTTCTGCTTTTTTTAAAAAAAAATATTTCTATTTCACTTTTTGGACTGCCAAAAGAGGGTTTATTATATGTTCTTTTATTTTTTTTAAAAAAATTGTATTCACCCCCTCCCAAAAAAAATTAAAAGAGTAATTGATCGATGGCCAAAAGCTACTCAAGAAAAAAATATAATTTTTTTTAAAGTCAAAATGCAACATCCACTCAAAACAGCCATCCCTTTATTAAAATGGATCAATATGTGATACACTAACACTAAAAATAGAAATGTTTTTTTTGAGCAAATGCGTTGGTGTAAGTAAAAGAGACTTGTATTGATTAAGCAGGTAGTCAGAGACTCAGAGTTTTATAGATCTAAAATTTCATGTGTATGCAGCAACACCCTTGAAAAAGTTATTCCGACAATAAAACTCATCCACCTGAGACACTATGACGACATGCAAATTTGATTATGTAAACATTATTAGTGTAGCATGAAAATTTGAGCCGATATGCCGATATTCTTTTGTTTTAATTTTTTTATAATCACATTAAATATGAAACTTTGTAAACCAATACAAACTCAAAAGAGTCTAAGCTCAACCATTTTCTTGTATTTGTGGATAAATCATTCGATCTAATTTTACTGTATAAGTATAACATCCCATTATTGTTGACATACTCCATGTGTCTTGAATAGTTAATTTTTTTCTGTTAATTAATTGTAACCTCAAATATTATTGTGAAACCACTCCCATACTCCTAACTAGGCTGGGCCCTAACTTAACTATTTTGTGTTCTTGGGAAGAAGGCACATTGGTTGGTTGAATACTCACCGTTTTGGGGAAAAAAACATAACAAAATGATGCAGAAGGTAATAGTGTCAGCAAAATAGAAATAAAGGCAGATGTTTTGCACAACAAAGTTTACACCAAACAATCCATAAATCCTTTGTGCATATAATAAGTCAGATCACACACCCAAAAAAAAAAAAAAAACATTGTATTCTAGAGTAGAGAACCCTGGACGACATCAAAGTACAACGCCACTACAGAAGCAAAATATAGCTCGAAAGACAACCATGCCTACTACAAAGAGTCTAATAAAGAGAGTTCAGTTTCTTGGAGACCCATCCCTCTCTGGGCCGGCCCTTGGATAATCCTGTTGATCAAAGTGTCTACCCCTGCTTCCATTGTTAGGGCTCCTGCTTCTGCTTTGCGGAGAACGCCCCCGCCTAACGGGACTTCTGCTGCGACTCCTGGAGTATGGCGGTGATTGCTCCCTCACTGGGGTTTGACTACGGCTCCTTGACCCATTGTAAGGTGGAGAGCGTTCTCTCACTGGTGGAGAACGGGAGTATGACCTCTCCCGGCTGTACCTCCTCTCCTCAGGCGAGGCAGACCTGTAACAATTGTTAGTCAGCATAAAGGAAATGAGTAAGCAAAGGGGTGGGGAAGTATTTAGACATTTGTTGGGATGTTGTATGACTCTGGCACCCCAAACCCAACTGGCAAAATAGTAAATGCAAAACCGAGAAAATGTTTTGACATACCTTGAGTATCCTCCTTTTCTCTTAGGAGAGTAGTACTCGCGGCTGCGTGATCTTGGGTACCTGGATGGTGGAGAACGTGAGTAGCGAGGGGAGTAAGAATACCAAGGAGGAGAACGTCTCCGGTCATTATTACGTCCACCCCTGTACAAATTGTGGCAATCAAGAAAATGACACTAAACACAGTAAAATCCAAATTTTGAATTGTTACATTAAATTTGACATTAGAATTTCACATCATACTATTAAACACAGTTGAATGGAACAAGATATGGTAACACAAAAACTATGCAAAACCAACCTGTGCTCCCTAGCTCTCATTTCAGAAGGCTTCTTCCTGTTCTCCTCAGCAAAAACAACAGTCAGCTGCCGACCTTGATGAATCTGGCCATCCATCTGATACTTAGCTTCAGCAGCATCATCAGGTTCCATGTATTGGACAAAACCAAAGCCACGTGGGTCACTGCAAAATAGAAGATGAAAAGGGAGGTAGGGATGAAGAAGACAGTCAGTAAAGAGATCCTATGAAAGTAATACGCCACAAAGGAGTAATCTAAAAGAGCAACAGCTAGAATATTTGGTGCTGTTTGATAGGTCAGGAGGTCCTTTGTCAATACATCAGCCTGGGTACTCTTTAGTTTAGGTGTGAACCTAAATCTAAAACCACAAATCAAGAGTAGAAACTGAATCTTAGAAAGCCAACAATGCAATCAAGCTATGAGTGGTGAAAGCAGTTCACTGATTAAAAGCCTAGCAATGACACCTAAGAAAATTTTACAAATATTGACTGAATAAAATGAAATGAAATAATAATAATATAATCCCAATGAAATGGAAGGCCATCGTAAGTGCATAAGCAAGCACATGGCTGCTGACCTTGGAAGTATCAGTTTTAAGATGACTTGAAATTCTTCAAGACTTCAAATCTTGAAATCTTCACATTGTATTCATTTCCAAATTTGTTCCAACCTTCACTACCATTAACATCACCTTGAACTCTTACTACTGATTGATGTCAACAGAACTCTTACTCTACTTGATATCAACATCACTCTTAATACTTGATTGATGGCTTCAAAACTCTTTTTCACTGCTAAATCTCAACAATTTTAATAAAACAAACCTAACTTAAATATCAAATGAGTAAAGATGAACCCACCATCATATAAACATCCACATTACCAGACTTGAATAGTATAGAGTTCACACTTATTTCCTGAAAATGTATGACTAACCGATTTTTTTTCAAAAAATAAAATCCAATAAGGCAAGAAGATGAATACAATGAGATTCAATGCAAGCTCACCCAGTGTAGTAATCTCTTGGCAAATAGATGTCCTTAAGAGGGCCAAATTGCGCAAATGGCCTTCGCAGATCTTCAGGCCTGCACCAAATATCAGACGAAAATATGCATTCATGTTCATGAAGACAAACTATTGAACAAAGGCATTACAAAAGGGCAGGCTAAAGCACACAAAACAAAAGGAATGGCATGAAATTTAATCAGCCCAAATCAACAAGTTGTTAACTAATAAAATGTGAACACTAAATGAGATATGAAATGAATTGGCATATAGTGCATACCGACAATCGCGGCGAAGATTACGAACTAAAAGGCTAGTTGGGCCATCTCTGGAACGTCCACCATAGCGACCTCTGGGACTAGGGCTCCTTCCCCTTCTGCCATAACCTCTAGGTGGTGGTGATGGGGTGTAGCTTCTTCCCCTCATTTATGTAAGACCTAACAAGGTGAAACAGAAAAACTGAATAAATTAAACAAACACAAACACACGTAAATGATCAGCCAAACACCCCAAAAAAAAAAATTATATTTCCATCATCTTTGCATACAATGAACTGACATGAATAAGTTCCCTTTTTATTTAAACCTGATTTTGATTATTAGTGTTAGTAACTATTACTGGAGCATAGTTCTTTACTAAAAAAAAAAAAAAGTTGCAGACCTCAGATGGTCTTACCACACTACATACACTGGGCAAAAGAGAGTGATCAGCTAGAGCTAATACATGATAAAATGCTATCATTTCAGCTATCAATATGATTGAATATTCATCATTTCAATCTCTAAGGCCCACAAAAATACAGTGCAAATGAGAATGAAGTAGAGAGCCACACTTGTAACAGTTTTTCAAAAAAAAAAAAAAAAAACTAATCAGATGCTTATCAAAAAATAATATGGAATAATAACAGTACTAATAGCTAATCAGCTGCACCTTGAAGGTAGTAAAGAGAATGATCAGCCAGTACGAATACATGATAATTGCTATCATATCAGCTATCGATATATTAGATTAATCATCATCTCATCCTCTCAATCTTCAAAATTCAAGGTGAAGTGTACATAATGTCAAGTAAATGTAGCCCAATAACTTGCAAACAAAAAAATTAAAAAAAAAAAAACATATACTAATGGAGAAAAAGAAAAGAAAACTATTTACATCCATTTGTAAATACAAGTGACCAGCCAATAATACCAGCTTGCAATCCTTGCATCATGGTGGCTTGGTGCAGAAATCAAACAATAATTCATGTAGCAATATATTGGTAAGCTAATACAATTGTATTACCACCACATGAAGGAACACTAAGAGTATAATTGTGCCAGCATTTACAGCGATAACAATGTTCACTTACATATAATAGTTATACATACTTTCTGTAAAAACATATAAATATATACTTTCTGTAAAAACAGATAAATTCAATAAAAAAATGAAAGCAACATGACAATATCTGTGTGATGGGTGGAAAAATAGGTTCAAGAATCATGAAAAATATGAATAAAACAAAAACGTGAATGCTGGATTCATTCAATTAGCCGCAAAGTGAGCTTTCAAACTATGACAAAGTTCCTTAAATCCAATTTCATCCTCGAAAACCAAGTCTCGTCTAAAAGAAGAAAACAAATTAACAGCTTTACACCAAATTTGACGCGGGTTTGTCCACCTTAAACAAAACGAGAAAACTAATCCCTAATTAAGAGCTTCTAAACAGAAAACAACAACAAATTTATAGAAACGCAACGATAACTTCTAACCCTAACTTCTACACAGAATCACAGATATGCATAACACCATACGCGAAAGGAGGTTCCGATTAGAGAGTTGAAGGCAAAGGAATTACCTGAAAGCGAAGAACGACGAGATTGAAAACGCTGGCGAGAGATAGGGAGACGGCGATAGGAGATTGAGAGCAAAAGACGGGTCTGATTTAGGGCAAACGACATGTTTATATAATTGCAGGAAGGAACTCGTATGGCGTTAAATGCACTTTGACCCCTCTAATTTTTCAATATTGCACCATCACTCCTTTACCTTTGTATAAATTATTTTATCCCCCTTTCTTTTGAACCATAAGCGCAATTCGTATATACGAATTCGTTAACCGATCGGCAAAATAATGACACGAACACAATAAGGCTAAACACAAATATGATATGTTAAGGTTAATGGGTTGATATTCTTAACATACACGATTTATAAACGAGTTGACACAATAAACACATTTTATTAACATGCTTCGAGTCGTGTCGACACAATACGACACAAAACCCGTTTAAATTCGATAAACATATTAATATTTAGAGCAAATATCAATTTTGGTCTCACTAGTATTAGCAAAATGACAATTTTGGTCCATATATTTAATTCCTACCAATTTCCATCCACGATTATTGTTTTAGTACAAATTGTAGTCCACAATATTAGCCGGTCACCGTTTCGTTTAATACATGTTGAAATATGAAATTATTAAAGTATTTTCGTATTTTTCAAATTAAGATCTCAATTTGAACATAAATAAAGGGATTTAACCTCTAAGATCAATCGCAATTCACAATTTTCCTCCTCAAATTAAGGTAGGATGAGGAAGAGAAATGTGAATTGAGATCGATCTAAAAGCTTAAATCACTTTATTCATGCTTAAATTGGGATATTAAGTTAAAAAGACGAAAATACCCTTAAAAATTTTGGATTTTTTGAAAATACCTTAGTTTTTGGATTTTTTGAAAAAGTGTTACTAGTGTGGTTCTCTACTTCAAACTCATTTCACTGTATTTGTGGGCCTGTATATAGTGTATGTAGTGTGTTAAGACCATCTGACTATCTGAGGTCTGCAACTTATTATTATTATTATTATTATTATTATTATTATTATTATTTTAAAATAAGTAAAGAACTATGCTCCAGTAATAGTTACTAACTAATAATCAAAATCAGATTTAAATAAAAAGGGAACTTATTCAAAGCAGTTCATCAAAGATGGTGGAAATATAATTTTTTTGAGTGTTTTAAGGAGTTAGTCCAAAAAGAACGAAGAAGCATTATTTTTGTAATGTCATGATTTTAATTTTAATCAACATTTTTTCTATCTGTGTATTATATAATAGCAAAATTTATGCAGTCACACCATATCGCCATTGGAATACAAATTTTAATTTTATTTTATTGTGTTTTTTGCAATTTTGCAGCCATGTATTATCCACAACGAACCAAAAACTAATAAGAAGCCATTACAGAAGCTCAAGCAATATACCTTTCTCTTCTGCAGCTCCATATCCTTCAAGCTTAAATCTTTTTAAAATTTCTCAGTGCTGAGGCTATGGGGAAAGGGGATTTGCACTTGAGTTCAGACGCCTTCTTGGAGTTCAGTTGGAAACAAAGTTGGACACTTGGACCTATAAAGAGCTTATAAGAACCTATCTCAAGAAAAAAGTTCCGTAGCAATCAAATATTTTGGAATTACTGACAATCCAGCTTCCATCCACTTGTTTATATATGTCTAAACTACTAATCTTTCGACCTAACAGTTTGTGGCAGTTGATTAGTCGACTGCTAATGCAACTGGAAATTTTGCGGGCACATCCCATGTTAAAAAGCTCCGGGTTAGACCTTCTCACGCATAAGAAAAACTTTACGAGTGTTACTTGAACTGAATCACCTTCTCCCGAATAAGAAAAACTCTACGAGCTTGACTTGAACTGAATCTGGATTAGTTTCGCAGTGATATGGATACCAAAGAAACTATGATCTTTTGGGAGGAGTCAAATGTTGTGTTTGAATATCCATTGTGTCTGTCAGTATGTTCAAAACGGTAGTCCCTGTTTGGAGTGACATAAATTTGTGACCTATTAAATTTTAGAAAATAGGTTTATATTCAGTTTGTAAAATACAAATTTATTATAAATTCAGTTATCTTATTCACATAAAAATCAAAGATCACAAATTTTATCTTCTGATTGAAAATCACGAGTTCAATTCTTGTCAATACTCTTTCTATTTGATTGCTCGGACAATGACTTTAAATTTTTTTCATCATCCAAAAAAAAAGTCAACATAAAAATTGTTATGCTTCTAACTTTAAGGCGTGTTTGGATAGGGTTGAATAAAAATTAAAGTTGGATCTCACAATCAAACTAATCTTGAAACACCTTAAAAGTTGGATCGAACAACAACACCATTGGTCTCCGTGGTTAAACCACAAGTTTATTTAATTCATATCAATTTTAAATTCTGTTTAACAACAAAACCAAAATCCCTCTAATGATTCAAATTTTAATATTATAAGGTTGGATCATAATGATTATTTTTTTTTTTTTTGTTTACAAATAAACATATATATCATAATTATATTACAAGTAATTTTCACCATAAAAGGTGAGAGAAAAAAAAAAAAAACACACACACACACAATTAACAGCTGGAATAAGATCGAACTTCATTAGATCTAGGAGTTGTAAAATTTGTTTGAGTTAGTTGTTTTGAAAAAGAAAATAAATGTATGGATCAGCTCTCTATACTATATGCAGGGAGAGGGATGACTGGGGCTGGTTTTCACTTTTCATGGGGCTTTCAAATGCACATAAAAAGCTAATAATATATACAAAGTTTTGGATTGTGCTTTCTGTGGAGTATATTGTTAACGCTAAAGGGGATGAAGCAGAACGAACATCATCATCAGATCAGTCAGAAGCGGCGGATATCTCTGGGGGGCTTAAAATTGAGAGGGTGAGTTTCTGGGGTGGCATTCTCATCCTCTTTCCACATCTTGATGGTCTTGTCAGCCTCACAAGTAATAAGCCTTGTACCGGTTACATCATAGGTGAGCGCATAGATGCCAGCTTCACTTTCCAATGAACCTGTAGTAGTCACAACATAGAGGGATCAACAAATCAATCAATATTGTATTTTCTTTAAAAATCTTAATCAGAGCCTCAGGTAGGCTGGGGACATACCAGGTTGAACAAGAGTTTGTGCTTGCTGGAAATTGTGACCACTCCTCCAATCCCAGAACCACATGCTTCCATTATCACCTTCATACAGTAGTAAAAGAACAGAGAAATTGAAGGAATGAATGAATGAATTTCACCACAAACAATAGAAAATGGGACAGTAGTAATGGAAATTTATCTGAGATCACTACACAACTCGAATGCACACTTCAAATTTCTTACCTCCTGTAGCCATAACACCGTCATCATTAACAGCCATTGCATTGATGATTGTTTTCTGCTGAGAACTGTAACAAGATAACGCTGTATTAGAAAACAATAATGCTTCCAAAGACCACATAGATGAAAAATTAGGGTGGGTATGCCACAAATCTTACAGCATGTTGTGCATAAATTCTCCTCTGGGGAGGTTGAATTTTTTTATGTTGTCAGCAGAGGCAGACGCAAAAGCATCCCTAGAGCAGAGAAATGGATATCAGTCATATGTGTGCCCAAAAATGAAGAACAAAAGAGCAAGGTTGCTGAAAGGCTAATGAAAAAAAGTGCATATACATACTCCTTTGGATGCCAAGCCATCGCCCTCACGGATTTCTTGTGGTGTGTGAGTGTTGCCATAGTCTTACCTGCCAGGCACACACAATCATCATCAGTAACCATAAAAGTGAGCAACAAAGTTACTTAGCAAGTTAGATGGTGTCAATATCTATAAAATAATACCATATCTAAGGTCCCAGAATTTTATAGTTGAATCGTGTGAACCGGTGATGACCTGAGGATCCTGAGAAGGCATAGTTAAAATGTTAGATTAGAAAGAGTGAAAGCATGGCAATAATTACACAATTATTTGACCTAGTCTCAAGCCTTAAACGTGACTATGCACAATTAAATGCCTCAACAAAAGAAACAGATGAAAAAAAAAACTTACCAATTTTCGAGTAAAAACAGAGCATACAGTGTTCTCATGCCCGGACAAAGCATGTATTTGCATCTTGCTTCTGATGTCCCAGACCTGGAAAATCATCAAAAAAAAAAAAAAAAAAAAAGCAACACAGAATTTTATGACCAAATTTATAGAAAATCAAGTGGCTCAAATATCAATTACAGAGCAAAAATTAGAACACTGGATGACAATCTTTTAAGAGAACCATACCCGACAGACTGAATCACGACCCCCAGTGAGCAGGACATTAATGGTGGGATGAAGAGCTAAACAATAGACACCACTTAAATGTCCATGATAAGACCGAATCACCTATGACACAAAAAGTGTGACTATTAAGTAATCACATTCTTGACCATGATTTATACCAGAATGGCTTGATTCATTTCTTAAATCTTAACCAACCTTATTTTGTTCTAAATCCCAGCATTTTACTTGTTTATCATCACCGGCAGAGAACATGTAGGTATGCTTATTGCTAACAGCAAGGCCTGTAAAAATGATAGTTGTTAATACATGCTGGAATTTTCTGTCCTCATTTTTGCCATGTCCAGTTAGCACAAAAAAAACAATTAAGTATCAACCACAAATATTCCACAATACAACAGAATTTGAATTTGTAAGACAAACCTCTTATTTGTTCAACATGACCAGTAAGAGTCAGCCTTAGCGTTCCAGTTGCTAAATCCCAAATCTTGCACCAGAATAGAGGAACCAGATAAATTTTTTGTTAGCAATCTAGCATGTCCAATCCAGTCCCTGCCTGGCCCATAGCAAAAACAATATTTTGAGTTACCTACCTTGATAGTCCGATCAGCTGACCCTGTACAAAACCATTCATTACTGTGGTTCACTGCAACAGACCGCACCCAACCCAAATGCCCACTGATCACCTATACATTAAGAGAATTAGAAATATCAGAACAAAGAATACACTGTATTACCCATTTTCACAAGGACAGATGCAACCAAGAATATAATGTAAGCAAATCAAATTCAAACATGAAACATCCATCAATTGCCAATCATACATCCTAAAAAAATAATATAA